TATATTAAAATATATAATTAATTTTTAAATGTAAATATCATCATTTAATAAGATAGAATTCTAAACTTTTAATTAGATTTTGATTAAATAAAATAACATCATTTAATATTAGAATTCTAAATTTTTAAAAAAATGAGCATTGATATATATTTTTTATTATACAAATAATAATTAAATTTTTTTATCAGATAAAAATATTCCATAAAAATTAGGTATAAGAAAGAAAAAATTCCAAGTAGTTCTGATGAAATGGACTCCCTCGGCTGCTAGCTGTTTAATGAGAAATCAGAGTGGATAAAATGCATTTATCTTTTTCGGGAAAAAAAAAGTTAAATGTGAATTTTGGTTACTTAATTTTAAAATTTTACATAATTTTTTATCCTCAACTTTTTTATATATGTTTTTGGGTCCTTCAACTATACAAAAATATACTTTTTAGTTATTTCATTAGTTAAATCATTAAATCTATCTATATATGTATCTTTTTAATTGTTAAACTTTTATATGAAGGGATAAAAGTGTGTTTATATTATAAGTTAAGGAATTAAAAATGTATATATTTAGATATATTTAATGAATTAACTAATAGAATAATTTTAAAAAATATTTTTTATAGTTGATGTACCAAAAAAATATATAAAAAAAAGTTAAAGAACAAAAACTATTTGAAACCTTAAAATTAAGAGATTAAAATGGACATTTAACTAAAAATATACTTGTTTTTAATGGTGCCTAACTTCTGCTTTTTAAAAGAAATCTTTTAATTTGTGTTTTTATATTTTTTTAACTAATAATTTATGTTTAAAAAGTTAAGTTATTTATATTACTAATTTATATTAAAAAATTAATTTAAATTTTATTAATTATTTAATTAAAATGTTTTATATGATATTAATATTAAAAAATAAAATTTGTTTTATAATTTTTTAATTATATATAAATTTTTTGAAAATTAATTATGAATAAATTAATAGTGAAAAGTTACGAAATTCAGTACCTTAAACCCTTGATTAAATTTCCCCTGACAAATTCTGTTCTTGAAACCTCTCTACTCTCTAGTAGTAAAATTGTCATAGGATGGAGGGTCTTCCTTGGGTTTCACCTCTTGTGAAGACTGAAGAACCTGGCTGGGCTGGCTTCATCTTTTACCGTAGTGAATAATGTATTAATAATACATTGTCTTGTTTTGCCCAAGTGCCAAGAGTCCAAGACTTGTTGTTGGAAAACACCGCTGTTGTGTCAGAAAATACTGCTGTTATGGCCACATAAATTTAGGGTCGGAATTCAAATACCATTATTATAGTCGTAAAAGTCTGCGTTGGTTGGCGTTATGGCCTGCTCGGATTGTTATGGCCATGAATTAAATTATGAATAATAATAAATAGATTAAAATTTTAAATTAATAATATAAT